AAAGTTACTATTATATGTAAATGTTTCACCAATTCAGAATTGCATTTTGCAACTTAAATAAATCTATATAGAAATTAGCAGGTACATCATTAGGAACACGAGCACCGTTAAAAAGTAAGTTGGTAGGAATAGCTACTTGATAATCTCCAATACCAGGACCATCACAAGCAGCTGCCCCAAATCCTTTTCTTTTAATTAATTGATTTTATAAAAATGTCAATATTGATTCTATAATAGGATTTTTGATTTATAATTTACAAAAAAATGATGATATTACATAGTTTCATCTTTAACCTTTAATAATTGTTGATCATCAACCAAAAGTACATTTTGTATATAATAATACAAATATTTGCAAGATGGATTTATAACAAAAATAATAAAGATTATATATTTAATGATTTCTATTATATAATAGTATAATTAATATTATAATAATATTATAATAATATATTATTAATATGATATATATAAATAATGTTAACATTCTTATTAATACATAAATTATAATTTAATAATATTATCAATATTAATATATATATTATAATAGATTTTTAATTATAATTATTATTTAATCATATTTAAACATTATTATACAATACTAGTTAAATAATAATAGAAGCCTTTTAAAATAAATATAAAAATATAAATTAATATGATTGCTATAAAAATTTAAATTGATAGTAAAGATTGTCTAATTTTCTCTTGCTTTTAGGTAACTATTGTATTGCAAAACTTGCTCTTGAAAAGGAAATAAAGGACAAGAAAAGCAAATTATTCCTTATCAAATTATTAGAAATTCTAGAATCAGTAAGACATCTTTAATTAAATAAGCAATATAAATTTATATTTAAAATCTCTCGAATTTCAAATGATTATTTAGGAAAAGAAAAAACCAATACAAAAAAATTAGTGATAAAATATTAAATTTATCGACAAGTGATTATCTGAACTATTTGATTAGTCTGATTGGATGACATTTTCATTATAATGAATTATTCATTATATATACTGAATATTTTATTAAAAGCACGAAAAAATTAATGCATACCAATTGATATAAAATTAGCAACTTTGGCTGAGAAAGTTTCCTAGTTTATCTTAACTGCGAAAGCAGAACCTGGACTTCACCGCAAAAAAGTCTGATCTGCGACCTTGTATTTGGTCAGAAAAAAAAAATGCTGAAATTGTGGCTTATACAGAGGCTCGCAAATGTTTTCGTACAACCCTAATAATTGAAATATTATATTTATTATATTAAAATTAATTTATCGTAATTGTTCATAAATAGTAATTGTTTAACAAAAACAAATTTTTTTTTAAGACACTTTAAAAAAATATCAATTTTCCTATGAAAATTTATTTGTCTTTACAATTCGATATCCGAAATGATTTTCGATATTCGGAAATCATTCGATAATCCGAAATTCGATAATCCGAAATGATTTTCGATATTCGAAATCAATTCGATAATCCGAAATTGATTTTCGATATTCGACAAACATTAAACCTAATCGGTGTAACCTGTCACCCCATATAAACTTTAAGGAGATTGATCATTCGCAATTGAATTATTTTCCTAGACATCATGTCAACTTATTCGCAAAATGAGAAAGACTTATTATACTCGAAATGGTGCGAGAAATTTGACCTTGCAAGACACTCCTTGCTTGCCATTTTTAAACGACAGGAAGGAATTCAAGAAGTGAAACGTAAGGGAATTATTATCGATAGTGAAATATCACGTGGAAAATTCCAAGAGTTTAGTGAAAGGGAACCAAGGATTTCTGTAAAATTCCGTTTAATCGAAGGAAAGATCGAAGCTTAT